GGAAAATTACAGAAAATTTCATGAAATTCCTACTCCATATTGCATTATATATAGCTGAAACTATTCTCACTACAAATCTGATACTAGTGATCATTAATAATCAAGAATCTAACCCCACCCATCAAATGTGCATGGCATCTCACCTCGACAGATTCCACCATGTACAAAGTAGCCTCTCCCACAGTCATCCACACAAATATCATCAAGTATAAAATAAGTACTATCTTGACACTGTGTACATATACTACCAGTGTTATCAGCTGATGTAACACATGCTGCACAACTTGGATGGCATGCTGCAAAATAAAATTATTCATTAAAGCTGTTAGTCAATATTTTCTACATTTCCAGAAACAACAACAAAACAAACAAAAATATACAAAGTGTACCTTTTAATTTTAAGATGTACAGAAATGTTATAGTAATGTGACACCAAATCACATCTAAGTCTCAATAATCAAGTGAAATCAATCGGTCCTTGCTGATTAGAATCTTTGAATCATGGGATAGTTCTTTGCCATGTCTGTCTGTCTGTCTGTCTGTCTGTCTGTCTGTCTGTCTGTCTGTCTGTCTGTCTGTCTGTCTGTCTTTGTCTATCTGTCTGTCTGTCTGTCTGTCTGTCTTTGTCTGTCTGTCAGCTGAAGGCTACATTGAACTCACGTTTGCAATGTCCCTGTGATGTTGGATATACAGACTCTGCACATCGAGTTAGGCATTCACCATTCTGCAGTGTAGCAAGGTGATTACAGGAAGTACATTCACTGGATGATGGACCTGAACAACCATCACAACTACTGTGGCAATCTAAGAAAAAGTTAAAACCATAGTACAGTATTACTAACAGTATATGTTTAACGTTTTGAACACCAAGGTCAACTTTTGACAGCATTTACAAAACATACCAACACATTTTTTTCCATAATTTCCCAAGAACGTTTGATCAAGATATGTAGCTAATAGAAAATTATGTCAATGTGGTTGAAGTTGACAGAAAAATTATCACATTTATTTACTTAAAAAGGGTAAAAACATTTAGAATTAAAGCTACAATGTATGATGTGGCCCTGTGTAAATTGAATATATTAACCAGGGTTAAATTGGATACAAAATAGACATGAGTTACCACAACCACAACAAATGTTAACAGCAATGGCGACAACAGTGCAGGTGGCAGACATTTTTATTTCCAATTAATGACAACATTTTTCGACAAAGAATAAAGCGGTTAATTAACACAGCGTAATCATTTCTTTACAGCAAAAATTGGTCTATTTTGTTCTCCAGGTTACTGTTAATCATTCTGTGACACTGATTTAAAGAACTCAAAAGAAAACTTTTTGATGTCACGCTTTGAGATTTATCACAATGGGATTACATCTTCAGT